GGTGGGGGGTTTGCTGAGAGCAGTGGACTTTTCTTTTTGTGAACTTTTCTCGGGCGGCGAGGGCTTAATTAAAATAACCGCGAGACGACGCCGACGACGGGCAGTCTGTTCGTTCGACTGGTGACCTCGTGGGAATCCGATGCATCTCGGGTCCCTTGTTGTCACGTTTGATCCTCTTCGTTCTGGTGGACCCATCGTAGAAAAAGAACATTCATCTCGCTCGCTCTGGCAAAGAGATGTAGTTCGTGAAACTTCATAACAATAATTTTTACGATGAAATTGCATGAAATTTAGTACTTTTTTCGGTAAAAGAAAATAAAAAATAATTCCGCAATGCACTTGATGTGCCGTAGAGCGATTTTGCCGAATTCTATAAAGTATAAAGCCCTGGATAGACGATCAAATTCCGAACCAATTCCGATCAAAGTAGACATGCTGATGACTGGTGGTCACCATCTACCATCAAATTTTGACGGGCCGCACTTTTTTGTTCAAAGTAAGATCAGAACGGAGTGCCACCATTCATCATTTCCTGCCACAGGAAACATTTCTGCCAAGTTTTCATTTTAAAATGAAGTAAATTAATGAATTTAAGACTGATGACTCCCGATACTTTGATGCTACTTTGATCGGAATTGGTTCGGGAATTTGATCGTCTATCGAGGCCTTAAAACACGCAAGCTGATGATTTTAGTTTCTTACAATTCCGCGTGGAAGCGCAAATTTTGAAATCACAAAAAAGGTGAAGTTTTTCTTTGTCCTGTAAAATGGTCAATTCGCAGTTAAGTGGTGTTGTTGTTCTGTCAGCGCTTGCTTGAAATTAATTATTTTACGAGTGAAAATTGGAAATTTTTAAATCGAGAAGAACCATTTCCATGGTGACATAGACCGTGTCAGCGTGTCACGCATGTTCATGGGTCTTGGGGTCACGCCACAATGGACATACCCTGTTTCTGTTTTACTTGAACCCGTTCAATTTAGCAACGCTTGAGCGGACATACATGCAGTTTTCCCTCAGCGTGGTATTGCCAGGGTTGCCACAACATTTAGGAAATGAAATTCTCTGATGTTTCCCTGATTTCCGTAACACATTTTGGTAAAATTCCCTGAAAATTATGGATAAGTGAAATTATTCGAAATAGTTTCCACGCAAAATCTGTTGTTCAAATTATCAAACCCATTCTGGAACGCAAATAAAGGTGGCTTATCAATTTTACCCTGAAATTTCCAGGCTTTCCCCAATTTTTTTGAATTCCCTGTCAATTCTCGGTTTTCCCTGACCGCGGCAACCCTGATCGCGGGGGCGTTCCCTCATTTCTGGGGAATCGCGGGGGTCCGTCGGGAGTCGTCGCGATCACGTCCTGTCGGCGGAGATAACTCCCGTGGAAGACGATCGGCGGTCGATGAGTGCACAGTGCACACCGGGCCCCGACGTCTGGGGGGGGGGGGGAGGTTCCGAACCGGAAATGAAGCTGATGAATCGCTCCCGGTGTCGGTCATCCACTTTCGCTGCGATCCGATTGTTTGTTCGGCTACTGCTCGAATGCTCGCGGGTCCGGTGATTAGCGTGACCGCCGCCGTGTGCCGTGCGAATCCAACACGAATTACCGCGCGATTCCCCATCACCACGCACGATCCCCCTATCCGGGCCCCCCCCCTCCTCCGTCCCCCATCTCGAGGGGGGCGCATCGGCCGTCATTTTCGATTCAATTTCCATTTCCAATTCGAAAGTTACCTTGAGCGTGGGAGGAGGGGGGCGGTAGAGAGAATAACATTCGTGCAGGAACATCGAAATCTGCATTTTACAGTAGCTGTTCATACACTGGAAAAAAAAAAGAAAAAAAAAACACATTGGATCTAGAGTCCAGACTCTTAAAAACATTGACAAGAAAAAATACTCTTGATTCAATCGGATTTTCGCTTGAATCAAAACGAAATCCGCTTAAATTAAGAGGCTTGGTTCTTGATTTAAGGTAGATTTTGATTGAATTAAGAGTAATTTTTCTTGTCAATGTTTTCAAGAGTCTGGACTCTAGATCCAATGTGTTTTTTTTTCCAGTGAGTAGCTGTTCATAGAATAAAGAAGGAGATACTTGCATCTTGAGGATTGGTTACCCCTTGACGTGGATGGGTACAACATGGCGTCAATATTTCAGCAAAATCCGGAATTCGAACTATGAAAAACGGACCATAACGTCCGATTTTTTTGCTTCAAGCAATTCATGATATAATTTCAAACACCTTACATAGAAAGACTTTTTTTTTCTCTAAACTACACCATTTCCAAGTAAATCGATGATAAAAATCTCCGTACCGACCTAAGTCATCAAAAAAATCCAAGATGCTTGAAATGCAAACACCTCCCTTTTTTCTCTACGGTAGCTGTTGAAGTGTTGATTAATTTTCTTTCCATCCAAAATAAAACAAAACAATTTTACCCGAAATGTATGAATGAAAAGAATAGACACGATAAAGAAATCGAAATGAACCCATAGGATAGCATCCTCCACACTTCGGATCGGCGCAGAATCAACACCCGCGCAATCCGCAGATGAAAAGACCGAGACGCCCGAAAAGATACAATTGTATCGACTCGTGCGCATTCGGGAGTATCATCCCTAAATGAAGGCGCAAGTTAAGAATGATTCCTTCGTCGAATGCATCAACATTATACAGCACCTTGTCTCGATCAGTTTGGCGGATGGAGCACCGACATAATTTTGTTGTCTTTTCCCTATCCAAATTAACTTTTAAAACGCCTGGGGGGAGGGGTGGGGGGACTTCCGAGTTTAGATGGAGTAAAGGAGCAAAAACAAGCTACGTTGTCTGGAAGAGAATGAGAAGGGGAAAAGTGCGAAATTATGCTATTCGCAAGATGTGCATAAGGACTCGATAAATTTTGATGCTTTCAATTGGGGTATTACGAAACACACTGCGACTCGAGAGGTGTTTTATTGGGAGAGCTTCCTGGTTCCTCGGCGCACGTAGCTCGCAGACACATAACACTTAAACGAAGCACCAATGATCTGTTTTGTGGACGTCTAATGGTCCCATTTCGCGCAGGATGGCAGGACGCGCCTTGAAAAGCAAAGATCGAGAGCCGTGGAAGAGGGCGAACACATGCACAATTTGAGCACAGCCGCACGAGTCGGGCTCAAATTCGTAATTGAGCAATGAAAGGAAAGGTGAAGTGGGAATTTCGATGAGGTTTTCGCTGGAGTAAAACTTTGTTTTCTAAGTGCTGACCACTACAGATACATAGAGTTCATAAACAATGAAATAAAATATTTTGCATATTCGAGGAACAATAAATGAGGGGCTTGGAGGACAAGGCGCATAAGTGCAGTTTTGCTTTTTCGAGAAATACGTGTTTGAAGTTGCAAACCATTGATTGATACCTCCATTTTTCAATAAACTGCACTTGTGCGCCTTGTCCTCTAAGCCCCTCAAATCCACAATTGCCTTTTCTAATTAGATCTTTTTTTGGATAATTTATTGGGACGGCTTAAATAAATAAAAAAGAAAAAACAAAGGAGAGGACAGGAAGAGTAAAAAAGTCCGACTGATAGAGATGAAATGTGAAAAAAGACATACCTTGCACCGACGAGGATGGAGGAGCCTTCGTGATGAAGCAATTTGAAATGATTGATAAGCGACGCGTTGCTCCGAAATTTGTCCGAGGGCACCTCATCTGAAAACAATAAGCCATCATTAGACAGAACAATGATAAATTTATTACAAAAATACACATCGCATATTCATCTTGATCGCCGTCGTTGCGAGCCGAGCCGATGAACGAGAGGTGATCTTCCTGGCTCGGTTGTCACATTCGAAAAATACCCCATTTAAGAAATTTAACAAGGAGAGAGGGCTCTGATTTTTTGGCACAACTCGGCACTAATGTTAATATAATCGAATCGTATCCACCAGCAGGATTTCGCAGAGTCGAATTCAGAGTTATGCCACCGAATCTACAAAATGAAAAACCCTGACATTTCCCTGCTTTCCCTGAGAAATTTTGGTAAAATTCCCTGACCATTGATGATATGACAGATGGTTAAAAACATATTATTAGAAATAATTTATTAGAAATAGCCAAAATGTTTTCTTCGAGAGTCAACCCCATTCTAGAACAGGGTGTCTACTAAAACAAGCTGGCCAAGAATCAGTACTTTTACAGTGCTTCTTTAATATATTCCCAAGAAATTCAGTACCTCCTCAACAAAAAAATTCAGTACTTTTTCAATACTCTCAACTCACGAAATTCGAAAAATTTCAAAAATTTGAATTTCCTGCTCAAATTGCGACAAAAATGAAAAAAATCCGGACTTTCTTGCAAAATTTCCGCACTTCCTCAATACTTCCGGACCGCCCTAGCAAAATCAGTACTATTTCCGAACTTTCCGGAAATTCCGGACTTGTAATCACCCTGTAGAAAGCAAGTAAAGTTGGCTTAAAAAATTTCCCCGGTAACCAGGTTTTTTCTAACTTTTTAAAATTCACTGATATTTCCCGGTAATCCCTGACAGTGGCAACCCTGGAATATGATTTAGATAAAAATATTTAAGAGGGAAGTGAATAAAGCTGAACAAATTTTACGATTCTGGCATTTTAATTCCCTTCTCACCTCGATTTTGCGGTGCTGGCTTAATTCACACTCGCAAAAAGCAATTAGGCAGCGTATTAGCGCAACCGATCGGTTGAATGTGGGTCAGCGAAAACTTTGCAAAAACAAAACATTGACACCGATGTGTGAATGAAATCCGATTACCGATTGCGGAGGAATTCCAACAAAAAGACTTAAGTAGGATGGTGGAGGTAGAGCAAAATAAATAAAAACCAAATCTTGCTTCAAGATCCTGTTTGTGATTTTTAAAGGATAATCTCGGCGTGGTTTGTTGGCAAATTCCTCCTGGCTTCCTTAATGAAAGGAAAAAATGATGAATGCAAAACCCGCTCATTAATATTTGGATTAATTGAGAAATATTTGAGGTTCTGAGGCATGATCATGAGAATCAAATTCATTTATATAAATGCCTTCTTCGTTGACGACCTTTTATAAGTTGCTGATCTTGTGAAATAAATTTTCATGTGAGAACTCAAAATATTTACAAAGTAGGAGGTCATTGTGTGCACGTTCAGAACCAGTCAATCTTTTGGTGATGTGAAGTGTATCGTACTAAGTAGGTTTTTGATTAGATTTGTGTGCGAAGTCATCATTAAAAATAAAATTATAGATTTAAGTACAGTGATATTAATAATCAAAAACAGACTCTATTATGTAAAAATACCGAAACCTCGATACCATTCATCGTCAGTATGACAAATGCTATGAGATATTTTGTTTTAGCTGGAGGAAATTTGACAAAGCTCGAAGCAGTGTAGTGGTAAATATCACCAGAGTTCTGGTGAATACTACTATAATTCTCGTTATTTTCACTAAATTGTATCACTGTAAAAACCAAGTAGACTTATAGTAGATGTTACCATACTTCTTTTCAGCGTGGCATCACGTCAAGACAGGTTGATCAACTCACAGGCGCGATGCGTAAACATGGAAGAGGTGAATATGATAGGAGGAAGACGGAGGCAGTGGGCAGGTTACGGGAGCAAATGATGGAGCACACGATGGGTTAATATTGCGTCAAGATCCTCGTAGTCCTCGTGCGGGTAATGGGGACAAAAGCCGCGCAGAGCAGAGGCACAGCTCGTCAGGTCGTCCGTCGTCTGTGCAATTGATGTAACGATACGGGACTTCAAGAGCTCGTGTAGTCGAGCTCTGCCTAAATATGACGCTTAAGTGGCTGCCTAGCTCCGTAATATACAGATGCCAAGTTTCCCTTCAAATGGGCCGTGCTGCAATCTACTCGCACGCCGAAAAAGTATACGCGCTTCAAGTGTGGGACGATATTTGAATCAGTGAGAACGAATACACACAAACTCGGTAGCTCAAAAATGCTCAATTTTCATTAAAGACAGTCTATTTTCATAAAGGTCATTGAATTCAGCGCATCTGTTACTATTTGGACCATCAAACAGGGTTGCCACAGAATTTAGAAAATAAAATTCCCTGGCAATTCCCTCATTTCCCTGATTCCCCTGACACATTTTGGCGCAATTCCCTGACAATCGAAGAAGTGACGGATGGTTAAAAAGGCACAATTGAAAATAGTTTCCAGACAAAATTTGTTGTTCGAAACCTCAAACCCATTCTAGAAAGCAAATGAGGGTGATTTAATAAATTTCCCCTGACATTTTCGTCATTTTCCCTGACGTTTCCCGGGTTTCCCCGACTGTGGCAACCCTGATCAAATAAGCATTTTTGAAAGTTTTAGCCCCAACGGTAAATAACCTCGGGCACCAGCACTGGAAAAAAAACACATTGGATCTAGATTCCAGACTCTTGAAAACATTGACAAGACAAAATACTCTTGATTCAATCAGATTTAAGCTTAAATCAAGAACCAAGCCTCTTAATTTGAGCGGATTTCCTTTTGATTTAAGCTAGATTCTGATTGAATCAGGAGTCCTTTTTCTTGTCAATGTTTTCAAGAGTCTGGACTCTAGATCCAATTTGTTTGTTTTTTTTTCCAGTGAGCAACAATCCCAACAAAATTACTTTCCTCGTTACTTGGGTATAGCCGCTCGGCAACGGAGGATCGCAATGATCCACGGAGAAAGCGATCTGTCGATCATGCAATTACCTCGACACCCCCTCGCCACTCCCCCCCCCCCCCCCCNGCGACCCGTGCGTAAACATACCGCGGCGCGCACAATGTGCAGGCACCTTTTGCAATATTGATTCAACATTGTCAAAACTTGGTCGAGAGTCGTTAGGCTAGGCGCGTGTGTCGTGCGATTCGACGAGGCGAATAAAATATTAATGTTCGACGCTTGTGCATGATGGCGAGTTTCGAATACGAATACGCCTGACCCTGTTTCGCGATGACTATGAGTTGTGCAGCGGCGATGGGGAAAGACGTCGAAGGCACAACGTGTCGATTAGAGCAATCGTAAAAGTAAACGAATGAGCATAAATCATCGGGTATTCGAATTGGAAAAGCTGTGGGAGGCTCAGGTATGATTTTATGTTTTGGTTATTAAAGGATTGAAACACCGGGACAGGAGCTGAATAAACGTTGGCTTTCATTCAAGATGGTTTTTCATGGAACTTTGTCACTATTGGCATCATTTGACATAAAAATTCATGGATATGATCTGGTTAAAATGAAAATGAAAATAAGACTTAAAAACCAGGAAATTACACTTAAATTCAGAATAAAACCGCTAAAAAATTAGAAACTCCCTCTCTTTTTACTTAATAATTTGTCCTTTCAGACGACGCAACGTTTCGAAAATTCTTCTTGTTCTTAAATATATGGGAATAATCGGAAATTCTTATTCTTAATATAATCTGAGTTCAATTTTGTAAATTGAGCGTAATGCGTGATGGGAATGGTATACATTTCTAGGCTGGAGACAAAAGACATTGGTAGCATACAGCGGAGCATTGCGGTCTCACGCCTCGCGCCTTCAATTTTGCAGAAGCAACACGGACATCCATCAAGCACGAATAGTTGTATCTCTGCGCCGTCATTAACTCACATCCTTTCCTTTGCTCTATTACCATGTTACGTTGGTTACGTTTGTTTTATTCCTAATGGTGCTGGAAGAGCTACGCGAGCAACACAGTCGAACACAGGAGAGTCGTAATTTGTCCTCATTTTTAACTTTTCGCCCGAATCTGAGCGACGCTTCATTGGCAGCAGCGAGGGGAGCATTGCAAGATCACGCATCGCGTCGCGTCGTCGCGCCTTCAATTTTGCATATATGCGACACGGACATCCATCAAACACGAATTTGTATCTCTGCGCCGTCGTCAACGCGTGTTGAGGTGTCTCTTATTTTTGAAGTATGCGGTGTGAGAACAGTAAAGGTTAAATTTTTTTCGCAATATGCTGGACTGTGTCCAAATCCACGATCATTTTGGGGAGAAAAAAGAAGAAAAAAATCAGAGACCTGAAGCGCGCCGGTGTAAAGGGTGATATTTTAGTAAGAGTTGTGTCGTATCAGGGAGTTTTTCTTTGACGACTACGCCTAGAAGCCAGGTCCAATTGACCCGACAATCTCTTCAAGGTGAGTCACCTTCCACGGAAGGAGGGGGGGGGTTGAGAAAGCGCCAGTTTTTTAATAAAAATGTTTTTAAAAAAAAGTATTTTTTACCTTCGAAGACATAAATCATCGATCCAAAACATCTGAATCAATGTATTTAAATACAGGTCAATTTGACCCGACTCGGGACTTCGCGCGTAAAAAGTCTTCAGCTTCTAAGGGTTGAGCGCTGTGTGTTACGGCTCCTCGACCTAATTTTACATTTACCGATAAGATTTCAGATGCTCTGACTCGACCACATATTCCCAAGTTCCCACAGAGGTGAACTTTCGATTCCGTCACGGCGTAAACTCCCTCGCCGCCGCACCCCTCCACCCACAACTCCTCGGGGGGGGGGGGGGGGGGGGGGGGGGCGAATCTGCATTGCATCGGTTGACGCAGCCGGCGGCTACGAGCGGAGATCGGGAGATCGCGACTCCGAAACGGGAGATTAGCCACGGCTCCACGCCAACACCGGGGCAAAAACCGCGGACCTCCCGCGCTTTCCTGTTGGGAGTTGCGTGGTTTATGCGGCCGCGG